ATAAGCCTGCACAGTGCATGTGTCTCTCCCTAACTTACTCCATATGGTCTCTCTACAGGCTGTATAATGTTTCAAAGTCTGTGAGTGAATACTACAGACTGGACGAAGCAGATGACATCCCCTTCATTTGCTCCACCACTCGAGAGAACGGAATGTTGCACTGCTCCAACATCCCGAAACGCAGAGTTGGACGGGCTGATTGTGAACTCACGGCTGATAATGTCACAGATCTTGTTTTCAAAGATCCCCCTCATCATGGATGTGTAAACTGGAACTTGTATTACAACAACTGCAGTGCAAGCGAACACAATCCACATAATGGGGCTATCAATTTTGACAACATTGGATGTGCTTGGATTGCTATCTTTCAGGTGTGTATGTGAGTCATTGAAAAGAGTATTGAATGAGTTTATGTCAAAAAAAAAAACATGCAAAGTCATCAATAAATTTTTAGGAAGGCAGGTCAGGAATTCTGATTTGTTTTTTCTACTTGGATGAATGTGTGTTAGAAATCCGCTCCAAGTTGTTCGTTAAAATTTTCGCTGAGTATATATTCAGTCTGGCAGGTGGTGATATATTTTTTTTTATCCTCACATATCCTTTTGGCGCCGAGAGACACTTACTTTCAGAGTCGGAAAATGAAGTGAATGGTTGCCAGGGGCTACAGCGAGAGTGAATCCTCTTACATCAGTAACCAACTTACCTATAGGAAATCAAGTTTTATCATGTTCCATTCTAATCTAATCTTTAGGGCAACAATATTTATCATATTCTTTAGTAATCTGATTCAGGATGAACACCAACACTTATCTGGTTTCTGAGTAATCCCACTAACCACAGCATGACGTTTATCATTCCATAGAGTTTCCTGACCTAGATTTGTGGAAGTGATGAACAATATGTGAAGTTGTCCTTTGTATTTTGGCACTTGATAGAAGTGCTGTATTTTAAGCATTAAATGAATGGTGGATATTGTAACCTGTATAATATTGTTTGTGTTTTCTCATCAGGTCATCACGTTAGAGGGATGGGTGGATATCATGTACTATGTCATGGATGCGCATTCCTTTTACAACTTCATCTATTTCATCTTTCTTATCATTGTAAGCGCACAGTACTTAATTAACTGATACATCTTCCTCTCTTTTAACCTCTGCTGGAGTCTCTGCTTTCATAAGTTGCATGGAAATGTTTTTTGTTATCATCAGTGGTGTAATTTACTCAAGTAATTTTACTTGATAACTATACTTAGAGAGATGAAAATTCTGTCATCATTTTGGAGAATTTGTAATTGAGCAATGTTGAAACTGAATGCTTGTACTTAAGAAACTTACTGCAATACTACATTAATGTACTACATTTCTAAGGAGAAAATAATACTTTTTATACAATCTTGGACCTTCAAAGTACATATTTAATGACTTTTAAAATCTATCATTGTATTAAAATCAATAATAGGCTCTTGATTTGTCATTTTGAAAAGCTAAAAGCAAAGTTTTTACTTTTAAATGTACTTAAATGTGGAAGCTTTTTAGTTGGTATTTGGATACTAAAAAAGTACTACTTGTAGAAATGAGAAAATAATTGTTTTACCCATAAAAACTACCTATGCTTAAACTTACAATACTGTTACAAGTTTGGGGATGGTAAGATTTTTTATTGTTTTTGAAAGAAGTCTCTTATGTTCACCAATGATGCGTTTATTTGATCAAAAATACAGTATAAAACAGAAATACTGTAAAATAATATTAAAATGTAAACTATTTTCTATTTTAACATATTTCAAAACATATTTACTCCTGTGATGCAAAGCTGAATTTTCAGCATCATTACTCAAGTCTTCAGTGTCACATGATCCTTCAGAAATCATTCTAATATGCTGATTTGCTGCTCAGGAAACATTTCTTCATGTTGAAAACAGTTGTGCTGCTTAATATATTTGTGGAAAGTATTAAATTCTTTATGAAAAAATTTACTTACCCCAAACTTTTGAATGGTGGTGGAAGTACACTTTTTCGGACGATCATTTAGAAGTGAAAACAAATATTATTAGAGTACACATTTAATACAGTGTGTGTGTGTGTGTGTGTGTGTGTGTGTGTCCACAACAAAATTAGTTTGACTTGAGTTAATTTATTAATGAGTAACGTCTCTTTTGAGTGAATGTGCAAATTTTTAATGTTAACAGGTTTTACCATGTTATTACAACATTTAACCACTTTTTATTAATTTAAAAATTGAAATTTTTTTTAAATCTTGACAACAAATTAAACAAATTTAAATCTTGTACAAGAACTACAGCAAAAACCAGCTTGATGCATATTTTATCAATATTTTAGAAATTGAATTTGAATATTACCAGTATTGACTTCAATGGATTTCATTCAATTCATTTGAACACAACTGCTCAAAACGGTCTAAATGTATGAAACCTACACATTCAAAACATTATTACTCTGAAATCTTTATGTAAATGTTAAGTGTAAGTCATGACACTACATATGCTGGGGTGTGAATTTGATAGGTGCTTGATATAAAATAAATGGTGCTTTAAAAAGAGTTTGAAGGTCCTTGAATCTGGTGTTCATGAAAGAGTGGGAACCCTGCATGCAAATCACTATTTTATTGATTAGAAACACTGAAGAGAATTTAAGGTCATGAAATATGCACGAATACCCAATTACAAAACATCAGTATTCTAGGTATTTCATAATCCTAATGTTTTTGGGCTATTGTTTTCTATGTTGTATACTCATATCTTGTTTTACCACAGGTAGGCTCCTTCTTCATGATCAACCTGTGCCTGGTCGTCATTGCAACACAGTTCTCCGAGACCAAACAACGTGAGAACCAGCTGATGCAGGAGCAGCGGGCACGTTTCCGCAGTAACGAATCCACCTTAGCTAGCCTGACCGAACCAGGATCCTGCTACGAAGAAATGCTGAAATACCTCGTCCACGTTTGTCGTAAACTTTGCCGTCATGCCGCACGCCTCTATGGTGAATTATGCCACAAGAGACACGGTGGTGTGGCCAATTCCAGCAGCTCCTTCTCAGTGGGCGGGACTAATGACTATCGGAGTGACAATGGGACAAAAATGGGTCCGACCCAATACTGTATGCTGCATTATCATCATCCTCCTCAGCATCAACATTATATCAGTAATGGCATAGAAATGAAGACCCTTCATCTCGATAGAGATGCTCAGAGTTCCAAAACGACTCCATCGCTTCCACTTGCACTACAGAATTTAAAGGGTTTGAGGCTCGGTATGAACTATCCCACCATCCTGCCCTCCAAACTATACACAAACCCACATACTCGCTCACACTCGACAGGTGGAGTCAAAGCACCAGCTTTCCATCATGGACTGAATGGCAGGAAGATTTCCATTTGTAGTGGATACCATGGTACTTACAAGTTGCAGCATGGTAAGAACATAGATAAGCAGTATTTTGTTATCTAATGTAATTACATTCATATATTAAGGTAACATTTAATATATGACATTCTACTAACTATAGGTAACTCTTCAAGTACATGTCAACTTATACTACTAACCCTATCCCTAACAGTCCCATTAGTTGACATGTAGTTGCAAAGTTTCTTATAATTAGTAGAATGTCTAAAGTAGACTATCGAAATAAGGTGTATTCTATATTAATTGTGGCTTAAAGGTACAAATATTTTTTAGGGCCACTGTACATAAAGCATATTAAGTAAAATATGACAATCTCTATGCAAAAACAGAAGTGTTTTTGGCCATGCTGTCATGTTTCAAATTGGGTTTGTGGATTAAGAGTAAATTCTGTCTCTGGGGTTTTAACTTAATAACTTAGATAATGGAATTCCTTTTTTTTTTTTCTTGGCTTTGCGCACTTGACATGCCCTAATAATTCCAAATTGAATTGAGGGAACCGTCTGCACAAACACACACTCTGTCTAGTCATTATTTTTGTGCCTCTTGACTTTTGCCTGAAATTACCTGGTGAGGAAACCTTGGGATTTTTCAACATTTTGGTCAAAATGCATTCATAACTTTGATTCGTCTCAGCATCTTGTGGGTAAAGTACATCCGCGCCCACACTTCTGTACAGCTACATTTAATAGATATAAAACTTTATTTTGCAGTATATGGTCAGGTTGCCCTTCGTCAAGTTTGAACAAACCAAACTTTGCCTTTTTTGGCAAACAACAGTGGTGTGGTTTGAATGCCAGCAGCCATTAGAAATTCCAATAGGAATCTTGAAAATATTTACGTCATAATTTGGAACCTAAATGATCCTAATGCAAAATTTATCATGGGGTTTTAACATAACACACACACAAAAAAGAAATGTTATGATTGACAACAGGATAAATTAACAAGAAAATCCTTACTTTGTAATACATTTTTAAAATGTAATTTATTCCTGTGATGCCAGTGCTGAATTCCATTTGCAGCCATTACTCCTTTCTTACTATTATCATCAATGTTGAAAACAGTGCTTATTATTTTTGTAGAAACAGTGATACTTTTTTTTAGGATTATTTGATAGATAGACAATTCAAAGAACAACATTTATTAGAAATAGAAATCTTTTGTAAAAGTCGGTCACTTTTGATCAATTGAATGCATCCTTGCTATAAAGAAGTATTAATACAGGTATAGTTTATTATAAAAGTTTAAATATTATAAAAGTATTCATTTCTAAAATTAAACGTATGATAATTTATGAGAAATTTTAGCTATTTTTATTTACATTTATTTTTGTTATTTAAAATAAGAACAAAGAAGCAAATTACAAACACAATAGAACAAAAATACAAATAAAATAAGTTAATAAAGAGCCAAAAGTGATTCAGTCAAGAGCAATGAGTCACTTTCTCTTTGTCTTTTGTTGTTTGATTAACATTAATGTCAGACAACAGCAGGTTTATTAGACTGCTGTCACTTTAAGACTGACTGGACGGATATACTGAAACAATATACTGAAATATAATGATATACACATGTGTTTGATCATTTAAAACATAACCGACTGTGTTTATACGGATACTCCACACGATGGGTATTTTGGCATAATTGTGTGTGGATTTGACCATTCAAGCACAATAAAACGCGAAAATGAACTGAATTTGCGATCGCATGCTGTCTGAGAGATGTGCTTTCTGTCTGTGCACACGCTTCGGGTGTCTGTCAGCGTGCAAGCTCCGCATTGAGTTCTTTTTCACTGCTTTATTGCGCTTAATAGCTTTATTAAACATTAAGCACGTCCAAAATTTGCGATTACATGCTGACTGAGAGAGCTTTCTGTGTTCGCGCTTCAGGAGTGTGTCAGACTGTGGGAGTGCTGCATGAAGTTCTGCACTGCATATTGCACTTAATAACTCTATTTAACATGAAGCACGTCCGACTCTATATTGGAGCATATCAATAAACTTTTAAATAGCCAATAGCATTTAATTTAAATCACAACAGTTTGATTTAAAACTCTTATAGCTCGCTCAGTAATCATATTATTCCAAAACAATAAAAGTGGTGACAAAGACAGTAAACAGCAGAATTGGGATTTTCTTTAATGCTGAAAACTATAAAATCTTAGAGAAATCCAGTTTGATCCCATTAGGGTAATTAAAGAATTGGTGCCAAATTATTATTTACTAAATTACTCACAGAGTCCTGTACAGATTCCTTTTTGACTGGGTTTGGTGTCCTCAGTTAGCATACCATCTGTTTAAAATTATCAACTAATATGTGAATGATAAATATAGTGAATTTCATGTAGGGTATAATCGAAGCTCAGACACAACAGATGGGTCTCAAAAGGCAGGTGTAGACAGACTTTGCACTGATTATGAAAAAAACAATATCAATCACTATTATCAAAGCAAATGTCGTAAACTGTATTCAAGTCACTAAGGCATTACTGGAGGCTGGGGCTAGTTTTTAAAATATTTACTGCACTGAACATTTACATTTTGCATATAAGTTTATGCATTTAGCAGACACTTTTATCCAAAGTGACTTAGAATTTGCCACAGCCAGCAATATTCATAATACACAATACCAGGTTTATTAAAAAATTACTATAGATTAGGAAGCAAGCTAGAGAGTTGGAGTCGATTTATTTTTGACAGTCAGTCTCTGTATAGACATATAGAAAAAACGAGCATTTGTGTAAATTGGACTTAGTTTTTGAGACATGTAGCCCCAGCCTCCTTATGTGTAATATTAAATAATGTTGTCCTTCACTGCAGGTGTGTATCCGGGCACATGCTCGAGTGTGTGTGTGGACAGCAGGGTTGGGCTGGTGTCTTCAGAGTCGTCCTCCTGCCCAATTTGTGCCCTGGAAGGCGATGGTGTTAATTGCAACTCCAACACTGAATCGGACCGAGAGAAACATGGGCCAGACGTCAGCTCAGAACAGAGCAAAAGAAACCAGGATTTGAGAGAAAAGGGGTCTGGGCATGAGAATTGTGTGTGTATGTGTGTACATTATTCCAGAGCCATTTTGAGGCGGATTGTGGACAGCAAGTACTTCAACAGAGGGATAATGATTGCAATCCTTATCAATACACTCAGCATGGGAGTGGAGTACCATGAGCAGGTGAAAACAATGCACTCATTTAGACACCAATCACAAATGAGATTAATTAACATCTGAGTTGTTTCTATTAAACACTAGTGAAATTAAGTGGAGAAGAATCCTGCTTCTCTAGTAATCCCACATGTGTCTCCTATGTTTTAAAAGAGATCTCAACAATTTCATAAACTGTGCTCAGATATATACACCCCAAAATAAAAATGTGAAACTTAATTATAAAAATATTAAAAGAGGAAAAATTTCCCACAAACTTGAACTTTTTCAATAATAATAATAATAATTATTATTATTATATAATATAGTACTCTACAAAGGCTTAAAGGGGTGGTTGATTGCGATTTCACTTTTTTAACGTTAGTGTGTAATGTTGCTGTTTGAGCATAAACAATATCTGCAAATTTACGAAGCTGAAAGATCAATGCAAATGGAGATACCGTCTTTTAAATTTCTGGCAGTTTAATGCCTACAAAAACGGCTGGTAGGGACTACAACAAGTTACTTCCCGGGTTTGTGACGTAACAAACCCAGATAAACCCCACCCTCGGGAAAAGGCAGCTAAGGGGGCGAAGCTCTCTCTCTCTCTCTCTCTCTCTCTCTCTCTCTCTCTCTCTCTCTCTCTCTCTCTCTCTCTCTCTCTGTGATAGCTATGAGAAGCGTTATACATGGACGCGCGTGCAGTTACCATACTGTATTAAAGCTTTAATCAGGATAAAACCGTATATTAAAAGCTAAAATAAGCAGTAGCATTTACAAATAACAGCATATCTAAAAGTATGAGACAACAACAAACAAAAAAACACAGGCCTACCATTAAAAGCTGTGCTTGCACAGGTTCTGCACAATTTTCTTCAATAATATCCTCTGCTTCTCAATCGGGCTCAAACTGATAAGTGATATTAACGACGCCATTGTTTACAATACAACCAGAGCACATGCCGCTGAGGTGAGGGGCGGGAGGTTTAGATGCGCACTTGAGGCTGTTTAGCCAATCACAACACACTGGGCTAGCTAACCAATCAGAGCCCATCACCTATTTCTGAGGGTGGGGCTTCATAAAAGCAGGAAATGATCAGCACGTTTCTCAGAGAAGAGACAGAGCGGTGTGGAATAAAGGTAAATTATGTGAAAAATAATGCATTTTTTTTTAAACGAAGCATTAACACACGTTAGACTGCACCCCATAAACACAATCAAGCCTAGAAAAAAAACAGTGAACCACCCCTTTAATCATTATTTTTAGTACAACAACACTAGAACACTAGATTAGTATTATTATTGTTAACAATAATGTTTAAAGGGAAATATTAGTTTTATTAGATTTTTTTCTACTTGAATCTGAGGACTAAGATTTAGTTGAGTACTTAAATTTTGCAATTAAATGGATGGATGATGTTAGATTAAAAAATAATAACGCTTGCAATTTCCAATGTGCCAGTGTCATTTTGGATCCAAATCTGTGCATTCTGTCTGTGACCGAAAAATTATTCATGTTTTCCAAATTCAAATGGATACTTAATTATTTATATATATATATATATACACATATTATTTATATAAACATGTACAACAAAGTTGATACCTGATTGAAACATAATGAGTCCCTCAGTTAATCTCCTGAAATATGAAATGGTGACTTTGAGCAATACAATTTTTAGTGTCTGTTTTTTGCTGTTACATACAAATAAATGCCCTAGTGTCACTCATTGTAAAACAACATGATCCCCCAGCGCTGTGATTCTATGCATGTTTGTGGCTCATATTGCATTTAATTAACCCCCTTTGTTAGGATTAGTGTGTCTGTGTGAGACTGAGAGGGAGTCTGATATTAACCGGTTTGAGGCAGAGGACATTCACACTGTTGCCAGGGAAATTATTATTTACATTACAGTAGACACGGTTAATAACAGCGCTCGCCTGCTCTTCCTCTGCAAGAAATAAAGCCACATGGAGAGAAGAAGCATAAATAGAATGGCATGACAGTAACAACACTGTAGTTTAGCTTTTGTATACGCTCGTGTTAGCAGCATATGTGTTACAGACATGAATAATACCTCAGATCACATGGCTTGTTGAGGAGAAGTGTGCCATTACTTTTCAAAGCCTTTTTCATCTGGTAGACAAAAAAAAAAAAACTGGGTAAAAGAGCCTACATGTTCACACAAATATACATTGGTTGCCTGTTACTATGACACATCAGTAATATTGTAAATTCTCGTTCTTTCTTTTAGCCGGAGGAGCTGACAGACGTGTTGGAGATCAGTAATATTGTCTTCACTAGTTTGTTTGCGTTAGAGATGCTCCTGAAGCTTTTGGCCTGCGGTCTGTTCAACTACATCAGCAACCTATACAATATCTTTGACGGCATCATCGTTACAATCAGGTTCTGTGCTAATCTGTTTGTTTTACATTTGTTGTAAATGCTGTGTATTTTGACCACAGTTCTGTCTGGTGTTTTCTACAGTGTGTGTGAGATCGTCGGACAAGCGGATGGAGGGTTTTCGGTTTTGCGGACGTTTCGTTTGCTCAGGGTACTAAAGCTGGTGCGGTTCCTCCCAGCTCTGCGCAGGCAGCTGGTGGTACTGATGAAGACCATGGACAATGTGGCCACATTCTGCATGCTGCTGATGCTCTTCATCTTCATCTTTAGGTTTGTATATAAGTTATTCCATACAAGAACAAGAGTCGTACTGTTTGTAGATCATATGTGTTATGAGGTTTCATTTCCCAATTGGTTTTCAGAGGTTTTTAGTACAGTTTCAGTAGAAGGAATATGATTCGTCATTAAGTTTTTTGAAATTTTTTAATATTCATTCATTTTAAAAGGTTAACACAAGAAGGTAAACTCAAGAATGTGAATTTTTCCTAAGCACAACATTATTTTGTTATTTAAATCCAGTCACAGTGAGTATGGAATTAATGTACTTATATTATGCCAGGTATCAGTGTTATTTTATACACTGATATACTATTATAGTTTTTGCTAATATTTTCAATTAGATTTTATTTGTATATTTTCTGTTTTCGTTTTTTAATTTTAAAGTTTTAGTAATTTTGTTGTGTCTTTGTCACTTAGTGTTTTTTTAATATGTCTATATAGTTTTTATTAAGTTTTAGTTTTTATTTATTTTAGTACTTAAATAAAAAATGAGAAATGTTGCCTTGGCAACTAGCTGAAATAAAATAAGTTTAATAAGGTAAAAATACGTTTTTTTATATTTTATTTTATTTCAAACAATGAAAATTAATTTTTATGTTTTTTATGATTTTTGTCAAATAATCATATTAATATTCATTCAGCTTCAGTGTACCTTGTCATTATGGTTAATTTCCTCCATAGCAAGCACATATTGCTCTTTTAGGTTGTAGTTTTAAGAAAAAATTTAATTAGACCTTAAAATGTAATAGTGATAAATGAGAATATGCAAATTGTCTGAAATTCTGATGAAAAACATTGAAAAATTGAGTCCACTGGGACCAATTCTCACTATTAACTAACTATTAACTACAACTTTTGCCTCAATAAACTCATAATTACTGTTTATTAATAGTTAGTAAGATAGTTCAGTTTAAGCATTGGGTAGAATTAAGGGATGTAGAATATGGTCATGCTGAATAAGCCATTAATATGTGGTTTATAAGTATTAATGAATAGCCAGTATGCTAATATGCATGCTAATAAGCAACTAGTTAATAGTGAGAATTGGTCCCCAAACTAAAGTGTTACCAAAAACACAATGATTTAGTGTAAAAATGATTTTGTTTTACACACTACACAGTTTCTAGTCTTTTAAATAATGACTACATTTCTGTATTATAACAATTATATCAGTTTCTCTCTCTCTCTCTCTCTCTCTCTCTCTCTCTCTTGTCTTCTGTGTTTTAGTATATTGGGAATGCATCTGTTTGGGTGTAAGTTTACTCTGCGTTTGGAGAATGGAGACACTGTGTCAGATAGGAAGAACTTTGACTCACTCCTCTGGGCCATCGTCACCGTGTTCCAGGTCAGAAGATTGTCCCTAAACTCTTTAATAAGCAATATATGGATGTTATATTCTTTTAAGAAAGGTAGAAATGCATTAGGGAGAACTACTTATTATTGCTTAAAAGCTGCAGTCCGTAAGTTTTGCCTCTTTGTTGATTAAATCTAAAGATCGGTTAGCTCATATCACATCAAACCGTTCAAATTATTATTATTGTTATACTTTATTCTCATGTATGTTAACAACATCAGCATTGGTGACTAGTGTGTATTAGTGTGTAGATTTAAATTTCTGCACAGTCGAATCTAATTGTCATACTCTTCGAATTTCATATTAAGAAATTATTTTAACCCAAAAAGCAAATTATGCTCCCTTCCAACTGGTTTTCTTTCAAATACAAATTTTTGTAATCCCAGGCTATCTGTAATCAGAAGCACATTTATAACTGGAATATAATTTAATTTCATTCACATGTGTTTCTTAAACACATAATCCTTTCTGGATTACAATCCGCCATAAAAATGATACATTTAATTATTCTGGCTGCTGTGAGAAAAGGCTATAAACGATCGGCCACCTGCAGGATCCTCATATGCGTTGATTTAAAAATGATTTCGGGTACCCCTCAAATTAGAAAACATTATTATAAGATGACCGTGGTGAATCGGGCTAAAGTAAGGCGATAGTTTTGAACACTGGCTGGTTATGTACTTGCTCAAATTTTGATTTCGGATCATTTTTAACCAAAAAAAAGTTACGGACTGCAGCTTTAAGTAACAAAGGTCCTTTTTAGTGAAAGATAAAACACAATAGTTACACAACTATTTTTTTAAGTTGCTGTTCGTGAAATCCCCACATTTTGCTGACCACCAGGAGTCTGTAGGTCGCTAAACTGACAGAGGCTTATTCATTTAAAGTCCAGAAATAGCATTTTTAGTCTTCAGAAGCAAGTTTTGATTAAATAATCACTCCTCAATGTGGGAACAGCAGCATTTTGCTAAAATGCTGAGGCAAGGGATTGTGGGTATTTAGCCTCCCTTAAATGAAGTAACAAATCCTTGCATGTCAGAGCAAAATACAGCTATTTTGAAGCTGTACATTAATATTTATCATTATTTAAATTATTTGTTATTTTATTGTCTGTAAAGTGTTTTAAGAGAACATATTTTTGTTCTGCAATCTACTATACATCATTATATTATATGGCTAAAAGTGCTAAAATCCTCTTGCGGTCATCTCTGTCTATTAGGCAACGGCTCAGGCTTGCTGTATGTGAATGAATGTGTTTGTGTGTGTGTCAGTCTTACTTTTAAGACTGGGATTATTTAAACTTCTACTGTTAGAGTTGAAATTGCTGAGGTCATCGAAACCTGCCCCATATTATTGCAGACATGATGAAGTCATCAGCCCTCTCCCTGCGGTATTGGGTAGTGTGATGAGGTCACCGGGGGTGACACTTGTGCAAATACTGATATGGTGCTGTATTAACTCCAGGCCCTGAGGGAAGCCATCGGAGTCAGGGTTTCTTCGGTACCGGGAGCCTTTAATTTCCCTAATCTCTATTTCTGTCGGGTGTGGGTGGGAGTGTGTGTGTGTGTGTGTGTGTGTGTGTGTGTGTGCATTTGTAAGCAGAATATAAACTCCAGACTGAACCTGCTGTTTTTCTTCTGTTCTAAATCAGTCTGCAGGAAGAGGCAGAGATGAGTTCAGGTTCTGTTGTGATGGCTGTGTGAAATGTGCTGGAGTGAAGGGAAAACAAACTAAACAAAAGTTTATTCGCATTTGCAAGTTGAATTTTAAATGAGCCAATAAATAAATAAATAAAGGTTTCATTTGTTTTACTTGTTTATACTAATGATGGTGCTTTTTCTTTCTTTGTAATAATACCTTTAAAATACCTCATAGTTAATGTAAATATAAATAATTTGCTACTTTGCTTGGGCAAATTAGTTTTTTATATTATATTTATAGTTAATAATTTATCTTAATTTTTATTTATTATAAATAATGTGTCTTTTTAAAGAAAATAAATTTTCAAGCTAGATACAGTAAATGTTGCAATTTGTTTTTAATAATTTAAACAAATGATAAGAATAAGAATTATTGTAAATATTAATTATTGTAAATATTGTAAATTAGGATGGTTCAAAGAAGTCAGAATAATTTGTCATAAAATTTCTGTGGCCAATGAGTGTTACATTATGCATTAATTACACAAACTGTTTTTTTTTTTTTTTTCAATTCAGTTTCAGATTTTTCAATTCAAGTTCAATTTTGGTTTTGTCACCTGCCAATATTTATCCATAACCAATTAAATATGCTTTTCTTAATATGAATATACCATTAATCATTATAATCAAAATACTGATTTTTTTTTCAAGGTATGTTATACACATAGAGGTGTTGTTGTAAGCAATAAATGACATTGACATTTTTAAAAGCATTTAGATAAAGGCAGGTGTTAATTGGTGGTTATATGCTACAGTATTTGCCTGCTCACAATTTAAGACAATAGTTTAAAATGTGATATTTGTGCTAACAGTCGACAATTTGTGCTAACAGTCATCCTGTGTCTCTACAGATTTTGACCCAGGAGGACTGGAATGTGGTTCTGTATAACGGCATGGCCTCCACCTCCCCCTGGGCGGCTCTGTACTTTGTGGCCTTGATGACCTTTGGGAATTACGTCCTCTTCAACTTACTCGTTGCCATCTTAGTAGAGGGCTTTCAAGCTGAGGTAAAACTGTATATGTTGGACTAGGGACTACAGTACAGTATATTTCTTTTCTTGAAATGTTTTGATTGAAAAGTGTGCTTGTAATATCTTTCTTTAAAATAAATGCCAGTTGCTTTGATATTTTGCATCTAATGCAGGGAGTACATTTTGGCTTAAAACAATAGTTCACCCAAAAATGAAAATTTACTGAAAATATACTCACCCTCAGGCCATCCAAGCCATGTCCAGGGTTCCCACGCTTCTTGAAAGTACTTGAATATCAGACGCATGGTTTCAAGGCCTGGAAAGTACTTGAAAACAAACATAGGTCCTTGAAAGTGCTTGAATTAAATTTGAAATAAATTTCGTTTATGGCACTATTTAAAAAATTGTTCTATATGTTCTGTCAAAGACATAACAAGCGGCACTAATGATTGGGGGTGGAGATGGGGGAGCGCGAAAAAAAACTTGTGTGTGTTGATGCGCGGACTGTTTTCTTAAACTCGCTCCCGCTGAATTTCTGACCATTCCCGCAACGTGAGTATCACGCTCCCGCAAACATTCTTATTGTATATATTTCATCAACGAAAATAGTTCCAAATATAGTAACAGCTGAGCCGCT